GTGTGTGTGTGTGTGTGTGTGTGTGTGTGTGTGTGTGTGTGTGTGTGTGTGTGTGTGTGCAGAAAGCCAAAGACCCGGCATGTGAACTCTTATGGATTAAAACTTTACTTTCTAGGGGCTTCAGAGGCACAAAAAGATGGCGGCGTGGTGTGTAGTGCCTTTACATTCACACTGACACACACACTCAGCATTGTGCAAAGCGCCACACTGAACCGAACCGGGTGGGGAAAACATCTGAAGAGGCACAATGTGGGTCACTGCTAGAGACAGAAGGAGAGCGTATCTTGCTCAGAAACATACGTGTGTGTGTTTGTGTTTTTGGCAGTGTGTGCGTGTGTGTGTTYACGTKAAYATATAGGAGTCTGTCTTTGTGTGTGCGTTCAGCCGCGGCCAGCAGGGGGCTGTAGCTGCAAGTTTTGTTTATGTAGTGGAAGGGTTAAAGGTTAGGGGCGAGYGGGGGGCGGAGCCTGATTCCACTCTGGGGCCTCCAGTTTGCAACAGCATTCAGCCACTTGACTAACGGCTCAGGAAACGAGGATGTAAAAGTCTGAATCTGTTTTTCTGTCTTTCTTTTGCTCTAATTTTTTTTTTTTTTTGCATACACTGTGTTTCCACTACATTCTGCATTCAGGGACAAACAGACCCATCCCTCCTTCATTGCTCACAAAACACAAATKTATTTAAAGTGTAAGGACCAAAGTGATGAAATCATGCCATCTGAACTCTCACACGTCACCAGTCAGTGGGATGGAGCTTTGTTAGTATGATGAGTGTGTGAAGACAGTAAAAGCCACAGTACCTGGAGATCCCGCTAATGATTCTGCTCTACTGACTGCAAATGTCCGAGACAGGGACAGTGGCACTTTGGAAATGAGGAAGGGGGACAAAAGAAGCAAAGAAAGAAGAGGAAAGTCTGTCAAAGCCCAGAAATAATAAACAATCATCTGACATCAATCAGCTGAAGATGACTTTCTGTTGGATTTTTTTTAAGCCACACAATTCACAGGAGGGGCGCTCTACTGTTTTACCAGCAGGGGGCCCACAGATCCCACCACCAAAGTGAACCAGAAGTGAGAAAAGCTGAGGATAGTGCTGAAGTTTATGAATGAAGTGAGACAACTGAGTGCATCACATGTGTTCATGGTGCAACGTGGATCTGTACAGAAAAGCTACAAAACCAAGGATACATCAGTCCCAGGCAGTCACCGCTCATACCTAAAAGAGGGTGAGAAATGAGGAATCTACTGTCTAAAGCAGGGCTATTCAACTGGCGGCCTGCGGGCCACATCAGGCTTGCCGGTGACCAACATCTGGCCCACCAATTGTTCATTAATATCTTCAGCCCAAACTACTGGTTTTCTACTTATTTACTATAAGTTCATTTATTTAGATATAGACATGTTTGGTATCTACAGAAATGTCAGGATCTTGGCTAAAAGCTGGTAAAAACATTTCTATAAAAACCCAAGACACTTAAAACTACAAGCAGTAGAAGATAAAAGTGAGACAAGTAAAAATAAAATTGGTTTGAACACGTAGCACGTTAAATATGTCAAAAATAATACTTGTGTCAATTAGGAGACATAATGTGTTTTTTTGTTTGATATTCTTTTAATATTACTTMTTTTATTACATAGGGTTCTGTATGTTGTGTTCATGATTAAATGCAGCAAAACAAACTCATTCWAAGGTGACAGATCTTTGTAATACTTGGTTTATTTACATAGTAACTTTAATTGCTGGATGTTCGGCCCCTCAGCTGTTGGCCTGCAGTAACTGTGGCCCCCGGAGCGATTTAGCTGAATAGCCCTGGTCTAAAGCACTTTTCACCAAAGCAAAGCAAGAATGGTGAGTTCTGGTGATTCACAGGAGCTCAAGATTCTGCCTGTTTCCTTCAAATCAGCTGTATGGAAAAGTTTACCCATGATTCACAGCATCAGTGAGAGTGAGTTTTATTTGCCTCTTGGCCTATAGGACACAGTTTATACTTCATATTGAGTAATAAGACTTTTTATATTTATTAAAGCTTCCTGCACTGCTGACCTGCTATCTTAGAGTCTCTCTGCTCCTGGGAGGTTACTGTCTGTTAAAGTACATGAGAAAAACAAGCTTTTTTCTTTCTTGTTGTATAAAATCCACAGTGAAATCACATAAAAACCAAGATAATTTCTGATTTAAGTGAGACTGGATGTCCTTTGCATGTCTKGAAAGCAGGATAACGGTTTAAAAACTGAACAGAGATAGATATCTTACCAGGTGATGCCGTCAGAGACATCATCCCGTAGAAGGAGAAGGGTCCCGCTTCAAACTTCATCCCCTCTTTTCCCGCCTCCACCTCCACCTTCCCCTGTCATCAAAAGATGAGCCACTTCAATAAAAAACAAAATTTAATTAAAACTTTACTGCGCAGTTGTTTTAAACCTATTATGGAGACTTTTTACGGTAAATTTTCTTCAGTATTTCCACATTTTTGTGTTTTCTGTTTGCGTTTTTTAACTGATATGTTGAGCAGGTCCACTAAGGACAAAGACAAAGACTAGAAAGGAAAAATACAGGGAGCAAAAGGGAATAGACTTGTGAAGGATGAAACCCTGATCTCTGAACTCTGCTCAGGTTTTTAGACTGAAATACACCAAATTATTTGATGGAGGGTATACAGTACGGTATATAGAAGAGATATTAAAGGCTTCTTCTATTCTTTGACCTCGTGACAGACTTCAGTGGGACGTCTTGACCACGAGTCAGCTGTTTACCTTTGCCGTTACTGCTTCTTTTCAACCGACCTGCCCTGCAGTACAATCATACCACGCATACCTATGAAGGATGCGTGGCCTCTGTGCGAACAGACCCCTGCAGCGCAGCTCGGTCAGATCGACGACTCTACTGTGGAAACGCTGGAAGAGCGAGGGAAACAATAACTCGCGGCGCTAACAGCAACATGTTTGGTGTGATTATTCAGTGTAGTGTTGTTTGTACAGCTGCCACGGAGTTGAGGGAAAACATAGAAACTAGGTAAGGAATGTGGAAGGAGCTTTAGGAAAAGTTGTGTAACACGTATATCCCGGCGACACGGTGGTGCAGCGGTTGGAGCTTTCGCCTCTCAGCGAGAGGGTTGCAGGTTTGCTTCACCAGTGAAACGTTTCAAATAGCGACTTCTGCTTCAGTTCAGTCTAACAGTTCAGTCTACTTTTTGATGCCCACCTGGAGAACGAGGATAAAATAGTCCACGGGTTTGTTCCTGTGGAAGAGGTAGTGCTCCGCCGCTCGCTTATTCTTCTCATCGTATTTCAGCTCCTGGATGACRTTCGGGTGCTTCAATAATCGCAGCAGAATCTTTTCTGACATCTGCAGCGGTGAGAATGGCTCCACCTCTGCAGAAACAGACAGAAAAGTACATTGTTGCATTTTTTAAGGACTAAATATGAGGGTTAGTTTTTCTCATTGTCAGTAATTTAAAAAAATAGAAGACAGAATCTATGTTCTGGTGTGATTTCAGTGGGATGAATCAAAATATGCACCTCAAACTCAAACATTTACTGCAACGTTCTGAAGCCTGACCCCAACACACCCACTTCATCTGGCCATCTGTGTGGGGGTGAAAAAGAAGTTTGAACTCCTCTCTTGGGCAACACCGCGAGTGTTTCCCCCCAAAAACATCATCTGTAAATGTAAGCTTCATATTTACACCACTGCAGCCRCAGTTTTTACTCTGAATTAGAGAGCAACATTAAAACAGATTGAATAAATCTGTGCAAAGTGTTTACATTTTTTTATGTGGGGTTTACTAGAAAAACTTTATATGCTTATTATATATTATTGTTATTATGTCGACATACACTTCCTGGACAAAAACAAGGTCACACACTCTAATATTTCATTGGACCGCCTTTAGCTTTGTTTATGGCACACATTCACTGTGGCGTTGTTTGGATAGCTTCTGCAACGTCACAAGATTTATTTTAATCCAGTGTTGCATTAATTTCTCACCAAGATCTTGCACTGATGATGGTAAAGTCTCCAACACATCCTAAAGATCCTCATTTGACTCTGTGGAGCCAGTCCATGTGTGAAAATGATGTCTCATGCTCCCTGAACTCTTTCACAGTTCCAGCCCCATGAATTTTCATCTTGGCATATGGCCGTGCAATAAACAAATCCATTGATGGAMTACCCTGGTCAGTCAGTATATTCAGGTAGTCAGCTGACCTCATTCTTTGAGCACAGACTGCTGAACCTGGACCTGACCACCTGCAGAAACCCCACATCACAGCACTTAGCTAAATCCAGGTGGACACTTTAGGCAGTGTATTATGACATGTTGTGTCGTTATCACAAGAAAATCATGGAAAAAGAAATATCTGCGGAAAACAACTGCTCTCAGCTTCCATAATAATTGTTAAAAATATTATGCTAAATATTTATATTTTTAAAAAGTCTTACTTAGATTTGATTACAATTAAAATGAATAAATAATGACACAAAACAAACTGGTGCTTACTTGTAATGAATCAGGTACCTATCCAGTACCTATTGGGTACGCACTAGGTATGTACCTATCTACTACGTTTTCGTAATTACTAGACACTTTTGTATTTTTTTTATGTCTGTACAGACATACCTGACATATTTCGATGTGTACTTCTGTATTCATCAGAGGTGTCACAGCTGATGTTGATTGAGTGACACCTCTGATGAAGACGGAAGTACACATCAAAACATGTCAGGTATATCTGTACAGACACAAAAAATAAAAAAGTGTCTAGTAATTAGGAAAACGTGGTAGATTGATTTTATAGACACAATGAACTTTATTAGGTTACTAGGTATGTACAATATACTTAACAGGTACATACTGGTTACTTCCCTGTTTGTTCCAGGTACTTATTTGTACTTACCAGTTATGTACCTGGTCCTAACAGGGTACGTACATAGAACTTATTGAGCATGTAAATGTAAAGAGACGGTACTTATAGCGCCTTTCTGTCCAACCAGGATATTCAAAGCCCTTTAAACTACAATCTGTGCTCTCATTTACACATTCACACAGCACTCTACTAAATCTCTACAAAGTTAACATGTGCAAATCAATCTATGAAGACTAATCAGTGCTTTAAATCACACTCATACACTGATGGGACACACAGCAGAGGSACTGGGGCTGAWYAACTGAGACAGCTGGAACAGGGGATCAAACCAGCAATCTACCAGATCCAGGATGACTCTCCTAACCACTCTGCCACATCCACCCCRTGCTCTTTGTACGAGGTACCCAAAACTTACAGGATAAGCACTTTGTACATACCGGGTATCTACCCTGTGGGTACAATAAGAAGTCACTTCATACAGTCCATGTATGAAGCATATGATGTATTGCTATCGTAATGAATCTTTTTTACATTTTATTGGTAAAAGTTTAAAAAACATCAAATAACTGAAAGATGTGGGACTGTGGAAGAAGCTTAAAGAAATCTGTGAAAATCTCAGAGGACTCAGACAAGGATTGTGTTACAGTGATGGCAGGAGGAACACAAACACAGGTCGGTCTTTAGGACCTATAGTTTTAATTTAGGTTGAGGTGTTTAACCTACGACAAAACCTGCCGACAGTTTTCGACGAGTTGCTTTTACTCGTTTCATTAAGACTGGAGCAGACATGTCAGCTGGTGAACAACCACTCCTAATTGTAACTGGTCAGCTTCAGCCACCTGTTGGGCCAATCAGCTCCTTCAACTCAGTGGCGGTGATATGTGTCAGCTGGCTGCAGAGAGGAACTCGAGCCCCTAATAGCCTTTAGAGGAACTTAATCAACGCGTAGCTGCGAGGTCAAAGTTCTGAAGCAAATCCAAAAGCAACGAGGCGCAGTCAGCCTCAGCTGCTGGAGTGGAAACTCGGTTATTCTGCTGCCTGCTCCATTTCCCAAGGGAAAGCTGGTGAAATATTTCGCATTTTACACTAGTAAGTACACAAGTATGTCGACTTGTGTGAGAACTGTGATCATAGGCCAAAAAACGCTGGACGTGATGTCATTGAGGAAAGAGTGTAAGCAAACAGGGTGGTGTTTTTAAAGCTGTGACTGAAGAGCTCAATGTGTAACCCTCAGAGCATGACATGCAAGCAAATAAACGCCTGCAGTTTTTCTTTCTTCGTTTCGGGGGGAGGCGGTGTCCACAGCCTGTAGACATCCCGTGCCGCACTGTAACACATACACACACACACACACACACACACACACACACACACACACACACATACCAACACGCAAACAGCAGATATTCATTCTACACACATCCTCGCTCCTCCTCCTCGCCTATAGCTGGGACTGAAAGCTCATCCAGGCACATGCACACACACAAAGTTTCTCCACAGAGAGGGGGGTTGAGGGGGCACCC